TTTTACCATTGACCATCAGCACAGCATTGATCCTCTGATATTGACCTTCTGTCATAATGTGTCTCATAAACAGCTCTGCTAAAGCACAGCTTAGATCACAGTACTTAAATGGGACTAAATCACAGCGTAGGGAGGAGTGCACTGTATCATCTGACATGAGTTCATGAAATCAAATGGAGGCTCGGGGTTCTATCCCTGGACTCTTCATTAGGAACACCCTGTAAATGGCTGATTCATCTAAATGACATGGCAGAGATTCATTCATGTTCTGTAGATCTAATGATGATGGATGTAAACTGAGCATCACAGATGGGAAAAATGTGGATGAAAGCGTTTGGGAATATAACGTATTTTCCGGACTATAAGTCGCACCATTTTTTTCATCTTTGGGTTTGCGATTTATATTAAAATATATAATTTCATGTTTGTTATTTTCAGCCACTAGAGGGCACTCTAGGCATGTGTACCACTGAAAATTTATATGCTCGTTATTTTTCTACTCAACGTCCAAAATTCACGTGGGCTGTAAGACCTGAGGGTCTCTAATCATTGCCATTGAATTCAGTATTTTTCTCGGCCTAAACAGGGCCTTAGGTAAAGCCTTAACATTTATCCCAGTCCACAGTGCTGATCCCTGACACCTACTGTATGAAGGTAAATGCTGCATATATGCATTTCACTAAGCCACCAGTGGCTGTTCACAGGGACTGGATGTTCCTTTCTACAGCTCTACCTGCTGCTTGTTATCATTAACACACAGCTGCAGTGACACCTGGGATTTCCGAGAACTCATCCAAGAAAACCTGTGCGAGGTCGTAGGGTCACCAGAGCATATTGCAACATGCACTCAACAGCCTGTGTTCCAGTTATCAGAAATAATAATGTATTCAACTGCATGTGTTTATACGGGGCAAGGGGATGGGGGGGGGGGGGGGGGTGGGGGGGTTGAAGCACGGAAGGACATATAGCTACATCATAAATAAAACAACCTTGATTGTGTTATGAAGGAGTAGAATCTCCCATGCTGCACATTTATGTCAATATTTCCGCTAAAGAGGATTTGCTAAATAAATTAAAACAGATAATAAATTCAATAAATAAATGCATTATCTGGATGAAAAATCCCCATGCAATTGTGATTCTAACTGTTTAGATTACTGTTGGCAGAAAATATCTGCAATTCCATTTTACCTTTTCTGACCTGCAGAGGGTGCTGAGGAGACAGTTTGAATGCCCTCATCCATGTCTTGAGCCCACCCGTTGGGTTGGCACCAAAAGGCTACGCCATGAAGCTAGCATAGAAGTAGCACAAGTAGCACAGAACTTTGATTGATTCAAAATTTCCCAAACTTTATATGTAATTTAGTGGAAGATTTACAGCATGAAAAACTGAATCATTTGTCTTCCATTATTCCCGTCTTCAGTCGACATACACTTCATCAGTCGTTAAATCATTTGGGAATGAAGTTGTTGTTTTTTTCAGTAAAAAAAGCCTGTTGCGTTTTATGCTGTGTGTAAACCCAGCACAGTCAGCAATGACAATATGTCAGAGACTCGTTCAATTACATAAAAAAAAAAAATCATTGCCATTAGGGGCTCTTAGGAGCACTTTCCTTTCCTGCGTTCCATATTAAAAACCAAAAAAAATCAAACAACAATACTGTCCGTAGTTCACATGATGCTAAAATATCTTTTGATTATTTCACTGCTCTTCCCACTAAGTGCCGTCCAGGCCATTGAAAAGCAGCTGATTGAACCTCAGTGTCACATTATTGCTTTAACAGCATCTCTGCTCAGACTGTCCGATCCATCACGGCGTGACACACACTCAGAGCTCTGAGGCTGACGTGATGTGTTCTGTCACATTGACATTGTGCATAACGCATGCTAATATTATTGGAAATACAGCGTTCATGCAGAGTCACACTGGGACCTCATTTTCCCATTAAAGACACTGAAGGACTTCCACATTTAGAACTGATCCAGTTGGAGGATGGAGTTGATTATGTATTTACCATGTATTCAAAAACACTTTAACTGTGTTGTGTAACAGTTACTGAACTTTTTTTGAAACATCTTTAACTAACAACTGGTGACCCGTGGGCCGAATCCAGGCCGCCAAACCATCTGATCATTCCTGATTCCAGTGTCCAGCCCACAAAATGTCTTTTCAGATAATATATTTTATAGTACTGTATTTTCCAGATTATAAGTCGCTCCGGAGTATAAGTCGCACCAGTGCCCTCTAGCGGCTGTCAGTGTGAATAAAACGAACATGTAAATTTCTAGTGGTACAGGAATAGCAGATACTGGTACATAAGCCTAGAGTGCCCTCTAGTGGTTGTCAATGTGAACAAAACGAACATGTGAAATTATATATTTTAATATACAAGTCGCACCTGAGTATAAGTCGCCAACCCAGCCAAAGGATGAAAAATAGTGCGACTTATAGTCCAGGAAATTTGACTTTGTCACTAAACTGTGTCAGCCCAGGGATGGAAAATGTAATAGTACAAAGTATTAGCTTCTGGTCATCTTAAACTGTGCACATGCTTGAATGAAACAGTGATTTATCAACTTTTTTGGAACTTTAGATCCATTCCATCATACTTTTACGAAGTCTGGCGAAGAGTCAACGACTTCAGACAGTGTTTAGGGTAATTAAAGGGGCTTTAAACCCCTGAATTTGAACTTTTATCACCAGGCTTGAACAGATGCTCAAACTAAAATAAAAAGCCACCGCCCTGGTGGCCAACTCTCTCCCTGCAGCTGTCATGAGTTAATGTATGTCTAATAAGGGCCGAGGCTGCGTGTAGCACAGGTTTCAGTCATTTGAGAACATCAGCGTTGGTTTCTAACTGTACACCGGCTTCTCTGTCCGTCGCCCTCTTTGTCGTTGGTTTCTAACTGTACAGCGGCTTCTCTGTCCGTCGCCCTCTTTGTTTTATTATTATTTATTTTCCTCTGAGGTATCCCACCTCCTCCAGCGCCGGCTCCTACACACAAACAGTGGGTGGAAACACAAGTCAGGAATCACTGCTTCAGCTTCTTTTTTGTCCCTGAAAATTGTAGGATCAATAAGCAAGGAGAGGAATGGTTCTCATAAAAAAAAATCAACAACCGGTGTCTCTATCACTTGAGTATTTCAGAAGTTTTCCCCTCAGTGTTGGCACCCAAACGTTTCAGCTTTGTTTGATGTAAGAACGTGGTTAAAACATTGATGGTTGAATTTTAACACCCGTTTTAACCAAAATAAAAAAATTGTGTTCTTAATATTTCTTCCATGCCTCCGTCTCCTCTGTCTGCCTGTCATCGTTCGGTTGTTAAGTTAAACCAACCAACTTCAACTACAACCTGCGGCCGCACCTGCAGCGTCCTTCCACTAGGCTACATCTTCCCGTCAACCTTAACGTCTTTCTTCTTCACCACCTTCAACTCTGCGACGTCTCATTCAAACGCTGCCTCTGAACCAAACCATGCTAGTGGCTCTGCCCTCCTTTAGCATTTAGCGCTATCCTTTAGTCACACGTCATCCTGATCCTCGTCTCCACCCGCTCCACCCTGTCTGCAGTTCTTCTTAACCTTACTTAATTACTCCAATAGTTTCATTTAGAAAAAGGAAGTCCAGCTTTCACGTTTTTGTTGCAGTGTGATCCTGGTGTCAAACAAAAACAACGACAACATTCTACGAAAAACTAAGACTCTTCTGTTCACGATCACGTAGCCGATAAGAAATCCATCGTGAATTATCTCAACGTTTCACCTTTCACGTTTTTTCACAGACCGTTATTATGAACATCTTTACAGTTTGTGGTCAAAGCTCTGGCTCAAATCCCAGGTTTTTTGCAGCTGGTACAAGTTAGGAGAGGCTACCATCTGAGAAAGGAGGCCGGAGCCACACCCTTACACAAAGTGACATGTGCATCAATCCAGAAAGCCAAGGAGTGACGGAGGCAGTCGTCAGTGAAACACAGAACTAAACTGTTAGGTTTGTAATTTCACAGAGTTCTCTGTAGAGTCGGACACTCAGTTTCCCACCGTGGAACATTCTTGTCTGTATCGCAAATGTTGTTTGATGACAAATTGCCGAGTTGACTGTCTGTTAAACTAACAATGTCATTCTTTCTTACTTTGGAATAGGAATTAGAATCAGATTTTTTTTTTAAAGATTTAGAGTGACATCGAAAGCCACCTAAAAACAAGTCGTCCAGACTTGATTGAGAAAAAAAAAACTTTTTCTTTTAGTTATTGATTATGTTTTTTCTCAGTATTTGCCAGTCAAAACAACAGTATTAGGGAGAAATATACTTCAACACATATTTGAACACTTGAAATACTGCAAAATATAATTAATAAATTAATGAATCTACCATTTCACTTCACCTTTAATGTACTTGTTACTGTACAACTGACGGATTTGACCGCGTGTGTTCCATAATGACAGACGGACTTGACAGTTCTGAGTTGACCCCTGGACATTCTCTAAAATTTTAACTTTAATTGATCATCTTCTTCTTTCTTTTTTTTTTTTTTTTGGCTCAGTGGAGTTTCTTTGAAATACATGATCTGTGGGAATATTTATTGTTTCAGTCAGTGATGGCTCCTCAACACTACCATCTACCAACCTGTTGGAAATCACTTCACCTCACCGAAAATAAACATAAGTCACTGAAATATCAATATTATCATCGTAAACAAAGAGACGTTTTTGTCGTCCAGGACATCGGACATCCTGTCCTATGGTAAATATATATACATATATATATATATTTACAGTTGTGAAATTTTAAACACTATCATAGAATGATAAAATATTAAATAATAAGACATTTTTATGTAAATACATGA